TTATGATAAAAAGTAAAGTATAATATGATTGGTCGACATTTTAATAGAATATAATGAACATGGTGATAGGACAAAAATAAGGCGCGGAGTAAGAATAGAAATAATTAACAGATAAATTAATTTTTAACTGGTATTTTTCTGTAGCTGATGTGTTACCGGTAGTACTTATATTATCGAACTTACGTATAGATATACAAAAGTAAGTTTAGCTAGAGGAAATACATTACGTTACGCGTGATTATGTTGAAAGCCAATAATTATATTTATTTAAATATTATTTAAATATAAATAGATTCAGGTAATATGCCTATTTGCTTGTTAAACTAGCCTATCGTGCTAGCTTAACAAAATGTGTATGATGTGTCTTCAATACTTTTAAAAGAAGTCCTACAATTGATTTGAAATAGCTGGCATATGTGATTTACGTCTTGTTCACTTTGTATTATTTCACTTAATGTATCTTTGTTTTCGTGGAACCTTGTATTACAGTATTTCACTTTTCTATCTTTGTTTATTCGTGGAAATAATGAGTTGAGTTGAAACCCCGAAACATCACGTTTCACATTCTCCACTCCCAAAAATCACCCACATACAGTAGTATCAGTTTGTAACTGAGTTTATAGAAATATGATAAAACATTAAATAAAATATTATGATGATGATAGTACCGATTGTATTACTTGATAAATAACCCGTCTGATTAAACCACTTCTCAGCGTGTAAACCAAACATAAATTGGTTCCCGGAACGGCACTACCTTAATTTGTTCCCACAAAGCAAATGATTTATTTGAAGTACGACATGAGAAAATCAAAGGCGCGTATAGGTTACGTCGTCCCGGGAATTTGTGATTGACTTTCTCCCCTGCTTATTCGCGGTTAAAGCCAGAACACAGCGTTATTATCCAAAATCAAAGCAAATTAATTCAAACGTAAACACCATCATCAGTTAATTCTGTGGCGGTTTCTTTAATTTATTTCTAAGATTCAGGTGTCAAATTTACTTTTTCACGAAAAACTTTTAAAGTTGTTTGTATAAACTAAACTGCAATCGATATAAAAATGTATGTACAGCTACTAAATACGAAAATGTATGTTTTACATTTATTGTTTATTTCAAATAAATTATAATGCGAACTTATACTTACTAGGCCTACTTTATAATTAGCCATAAACAAGTTAAATACTGTATAAATACATTAATAGATAGGAATAAACATTATAAATACACCTAGAGTGCATGTTATCACAGAAACACACAAGCTGATTTCGTTGGACCTTCTGGTTTTCCACTAGGCGATTTAATTTGCGCGAATCGAAAATATTTACCCTATACGCATGCGCGGTTACGTTTCATCACGAGATTCTAAAATGCGCAGGCGTATAGGTACAAATTTGCGATTCGCGTGAATAAATTCGCTTAGTGGAAAACAGCGTGACCACTGCTTGGGTAATTACCCAAGATCTTGGGTATTTTGACTTGGTCTTGGGTTCTTGGGTATTCCGTTCAAATCCTTGGGTATTTTATTTTACTAAGAAAATTAAATATTTTTGTTATAAAGGAAGAATTAAGAAGTAACAATGTATATTTCAGTCCATTCAAGTAAGCAAAACTCAACAAAGTGCACATAATATTGTTAATTGCTAAAAACATGGGTTCGGAATTGTGATTTGCGTTGCCATTAATCTTACCTAATTAATGCATTACATAATAAAACTTCATCACTGATCTGCTGATAACACTGGCCGACTAAGGGCGTATTTTTCTATCCGTATTATCACCTCATGAATATTAATTTTAATAATTAACATAAACAATTACAATAAAAAATGGTTTATAAATTGAACTAAAAGGGAAACCATACATGCGAAAAACACGTACATTTCAAATTTTAATGCATTTTCAGGAAGCTTGGGTAATTTTGGGCAATTTTTTGCGGAATCTTGGGTAATTTCGACCCAGTCATTGGGTATATCAAATATTTTGAGTGTTCACGCTGGTGGAAAACCAGCTTTAGCAACAATAACAAAGGGACGAGGCAGTATATGATCATACAGAGCTAAAAAAGCATTCTCTCAAGTAATAATGTTTCATGATAATCAATTAGATAATTGTATGCAGATTATGCCTAATTATGAATAACGATAGCGCTGAAGTGGCCGACGTGAATTTTATTAACGAACACTCTAGGCTTACGCCACGAAGCACAGAATGCATGGTAACATAAAACAAAAACTATTAGTCTCAATGTAAGGATAATATTGTATTGTACAGTAGTTTACAATGTTATTCTTCACACAAGCACAGACCCTAATAATGGTCTGTGACACAAGTTTGGTTGCGTCGTTATAAAAAAAAATTAAGTAATAAACATCCGTCTTGAGCACCAGGTCAATGTCATTTTCTGGCCTCTTTGTTCTTTGCTGCCTGGCATCCAGCGATATGCAAAATACAAGCCATAATATCAAAGAAATGTACAAGACTAAACGATTAACCAATACTCTGAGAAAGGCTGATTTTGTTTTTAAATAATAGGAATTGATCTATACAGAGCTATCGGGGCACGATTGGCTGACTGTTCCGGGTGGGCTATGAGCAGTGTCATTTATGACCTTTTCGTCCTTTTTATTTGTAGTTATTGAACTCAAATGGCTAGATGCTGCCCCAGGGTCCTTTTTGCAGCATCCTCTAAACAGTGAACGTATCCCAGATTTAAAACCCGGCATTTTCCGCCAGTAGATAAAAGGATTCACAGCCGCGTTCGTGAGACCGATGATTGAAAAAATAAAGAATGTTTCGGATGTATAGTAACAAGGCTGGCCGGATCTTCTCTTCTTCAAAGATATCCTAAATGCTTCAATCGCCCACGGTACCGTCACAATGACAGCGACGCCGAGAATCAGCGTAAACGCCTTAGCAACGGCACGCGTCTCACGAAATTGCCGATTTGACTTGATATCACGCAGTCTCTTTTCGTGGCGGCGAATTTTGTACAATATTATCGCATACAGAATTATAATAAAGGACAACACGGTCATCGTTAGTGATGGCAGAACGTTAAACAAGATCAAAGTCACGTTGTCAGTATCGTTAGAGAATGGAAGCGTGACAGAAAGCGGCACGATCCAAAAACATACACATGTGATTAGGATTCCCCTAGGTGTTACAATCTGTTCGTATGTATTCGGGGCTGCTACAATTATTATGAACCGGTCTACAGCAATGCCGAGAATGGTTAGCCATGAAATAGCAACGAGAGAAATATTCAATGCGTCGGATGCCGCCTCTCCTATGATAGTTCTTGTACAAATAGCGAATCCTGTGATTAAATCTGTAATGGACAGATTGCAAATGAACATATTACGAGTTCGGCGAAGCTTGGTTATTTTCACAAATGCCAACAGAACCAACGTATTACCAGCAATAGCAACAACACATATCGCCAGCATCACGATAGAAAATACAATCATTGCAATAGTACTCTGACCAATTGACGTTGTGTATATGTCAGGATATTTACACATTGAGTCATTACTGGAGATATTCTCTGCAGTTTCCATGATCAGAAATTATATTATTATTAGCAATACTGTTAAGATATCCCTTCACTAGGCTGTAGCACGAAGGCCTGTACATTCAGTTCTGACTCCCTTTTTCTACTCACATAGTTCTAGTACTTAAAGTCACAACGAGCACCGACCAATCAAAGCGTTCGAAATCTGTCAACGCGAATACGGACCAATCCCCATTGTCGTGTCTCTGGGTTCTCAGTTTGTGGTTGTGAACTTAACCATTATCATTTTTACAACTACATTAACTTGTTAGAACAAAGCCACTTGAAATAATGAAAATTGTTGAGACGCACAGAAAAAAAAAAAAAGAGAACAAAACAGACCACAACCTGTTCAAATATTTTTAGGGTTCAATATATAAAACAAAATTTGACAATTACTTAAAGTAAAGTCATGACATTAGATAATCATGTGGTTAATGCCCGGAAGTCGATGGCTATGGGCTATTCAGAGATCATCTCCTCGGGTCAATGCTCAACATGTCGTTACCACAGCAACCGAAATATTAGTTCCACTTACTCAAAAGTACGTTCTGACGGGGGCAACGAACGCGTCTGTGATGACCCGTTTATAATTTGACATAGTGTACCAAGACCGATGGAGAGTTTGGAGAAAAAAGCAATGGTGAATCGAGAGAGAGGAGGAATTACCGGGGAGGTGTGCCTTTTTATTAAGAAAAAAAAACAAAAAAAACAAAAGAAAATGGAATACAAATACAAAATGTTACAACTAAAGCCGGGCATTCACTGCGTCCTACAACCGTCAGCCGACGAATCCAAGTCCATTCCCTGTAAATGCGACGCGACGCCGTCTACTGATTGTCGGTTGCAGTAGTCTCAACGGATCGTCATTAAGATTCGTTGCGCGCGTCGTGGCGTTGCGTTCTCACTAAAATCGTGTCGGCCGACGACCGTCGACTTAACATGAATTATACAATTATTTAGGTACATATTTATCTGTATTAGGCCAAATAAATTAAATCCGGACTTGATGACTAAGTAAAATTGTATTGCTATTAATTCACAAGTATAAAATGTGTAACTACTTGCTCTTTTTCTCATATAAGCCTACTGTATCTTAAAGACTGTCTACAATTAGGCAGATGATACCTTCTTCCCCGCTCCCCCACCCCATATAGGCCTAGTTGCTGAAGCCTAGCAACTCCCATTTTGCCTAAAATTCACTGTTTATTTGAAGATCGTCGTAGTTACTATTGTGATATATCGAAGTTTTCCGAAGAAAATACAGACCCGGACTTCTTGTTACCGAATTCTCTTTGCTTGATTCTTTTATGTTTTTATCTCGTCTGTCTTTATGTCCTGAATAAAACGATTATACCGTATTAAAATTAAATACCGGTACCAAATGTATTTGTCATCAGTCATCTCAGACAGCAAGTACATTTCCGTATGAAATTAAAAATATATCCGTAATCTCTTGAACAAAAATAGGCCTACTTGATATTTGAAACTAAAGAACGTAAGTTGATAAATAGGCCTAACATAATATATAATACATAATATACAGTATATATATAAATGTATATAATTATATAAATGTATATATAATACATAATATACAGTATATATATAAATGTATATAATTATATAAATGTATATATACATATATATGTATATATATGTATATACATGTATATGCTGTCTCTTATACACATCTAGATGTGTATAAGAGACAGAGTCATTACTGGAGATATTCTCTGCAGTTTCCATGATCAGAAATTATATTATTATTAGCAATACTAATGTAGGCCTATGGGATGGTAACCATCAAAATTAAGTGTACTGTAACATTTAAAACAGAAGTATAAGACTGTTGATAACTAACTTCATGGCAAGTTTAAAGTACCGGTAAGTTGTCTTGATTAATTTTCCATTAGAAATAAATCTAAATTAAGTCAATTGTCAATTGCGACGAGTCCGTAATTAATCACGAATGCCGATGATTTTGATTCGGCTAAAGCGCAATCGGGAAGCCGACTTACCAAAGAGGGCTTTCATTGTTACTACAAGGTCTCTCGAGCAAGTTTGCAGCGGATTAATATCCATGTAATGTTTAATTGACGGTAAAACATATGTTTATATCATTGTCAATTGACACCATAAATCGGCAAAAATATGTGACGTAAATTTTCGCAGGCGAATCAAATGCGCAGTGTTATGGTCGGAGGGACTTTTCCCCTCGGATTAATATAACTGTACCACCGTAATTGAACTTCAATAATTCATCAGGCAGTTTTAGATTCTAAAAGTTAATTGTAGCTGTAACTGCATGTACTGTCCCGCGAGTATGAACACGTAGGTAACATCTGGGATTATTCATCTGTAATGACTTCGAAAAAATAGTGACGTTAAATTGGAATGAGCTATAAAACAAATTTAGACGCATTGGTGCCGTCGTTCCATTGATGTGTAAAAAGACAATTTTAAACGCCTTAACAATGATTGTTTAAATATTGATACAGTATTGGTCTTTTATCGACTGTGCGTTTGATATAATTTAAATATCGAAGTAAAACTGATACAAAAGTGGTCGATATATCTAAGAAGCAACGCTCCTTAATTAGTTTCTAACCATGCACATTTTACATGACTTACAGAATCTGTCAAATTCTGTTATTGGTTAATCTATCTCCTGGTCACACATCAAGTCCTGCCTTCTACATGGTTCTAACCAAATCTCCATAACAGTCTAACAACACCATCCTACCATGATCCTACTAAGACTATAAGTAGGGCTGTAGAGCACTCAATATACAGGACATAATCCTATGTTGTGTATTATTTTTATATAGTAATTTCATCATCATATATTAAGCGAGTCAAAATGGTCAAGCGGTTAAGGCAGGGGCGCCGCAAATTTCGGCCATATTATCGACGGGTTGAACGGCACACTCGCCTATGGTTCTGGTGGTGGAACACGTCTTCTCAGATAAGGAATAAACCGTAGTGTACACAATTTCGATCATGTGCAATTGAAATTAAACGATCTTTTCGAGACGGGAGGGGATTACCCCGGCGTACTGGTTCCTACAGCACTAATGTGGACAGACGAAAGATAGCACCGGTTTACCGGGTAGCTCATAGATACGAAGGAAGCGGGGAGAAGCAGCAAGTTATTGTAGCCTAACGAGCGACTTTTAGACTTCGTAAAAAGCGCTATATAAATTCAACTATATTACGTTACACATACATATATTTTAATGCATACTGTATGTACACATACACATTTTAAAAGTGTCTTTAATTGAAGTCTCATAATAATAAAGACCGGCACTTCGGGGTCCCACGTTAGAAGAATTAACATCTGGTAGATCTGTTTAAATGAGTTTTACTAACACAACTAAATGTATGTCGCTGTGCTTAGTGATGACATTAGCACTGATTTCCGGGAGACAATTAATTATACAGAAGTTGATGCAAATATCGTGAATATGTGGGAGATGGTCTATTTTACGGAGGATTTTTACTTCCTCGCAAGAGCGCAAGAGCCCTCCCGCCGATTTTCAGGAGACTATATATGATTAGATTGTTATGGATTACGACATATTTCATGGTATAGTAAGACATCTGTACTCGTTTTACTCAAATTCACATTAAAATTTAATAACAACGTCAGTAGCATTATCGTTAGAAAAAATGGCATTAACATCACTATATATTTTATAGTGGTCTTTAGTTGGGGGGAAATTTTTCATTTGGGTCTGCCAAAACCAAACGCTATTCAGCATGGTATGACGCTGAAAGATATTCTGCTACCTTTCGCTTTACCGTAGATTCAACCTTGAAAAGAAATATTTCAATCAGCTTTTCTGCGGCCCGGTTTAACGCCTATTTTATCATTAGTTGTTTTCTCCAATTAAAGACCCCCTCTATATAGAGACCGAAGACTCGTCGTGACTATTATAATAGCCATAGTAAGGCGCTTAGGTGGTATTTCATTCCTAAAAACCCATATCGTTCTCGTGTAATCAGTAGAGTCCCCGGTATAAAACCCCTGGCCCGCGGGCCGGGAAAACATTGATAAAAATAAATCATTTTCCGGCCGATTTTTAGAAAAAGTTATTTTTGTTTAGGAACACCACCTAGGTACCACCTACTCTAGCATTGTTTTTCAAGAGTGTGGCTTTCTCATGGGCTTTTTCTAAGTGTAGCTTATTGTATCTAGTGGCGTAGGGTATTGGCATGGGAGAGCGGTAGACTAATGGGGATAATGGATTAAGTGGGCCGCTGATATAATGCGGTGCCTAACAATTTGCGGCAAAGGCAGACTTAAGGGCATGTTATTCTGTTGAAAAAACTGCTTTGAAAACTTATTTTTAAATCTGAAAGTGCAATTTCCAAGAATGTAGAGGAGATCTGTGTTAGAATTTGCTCACCTCAACCCCAACCACTGGTGAGTAGATAGGCCTACTTTTTGTGGTAGGAAAATCAGTGGCAAAGTAGGAGAACCTAGAGTGCAAGTTTGTTATTTGTTTTGTTTTGTTTTGTTTTGTTTAGTTTTTTTTTAAATTCTAAAATAAAAAATAGAAGAAAAGAAAATTATACTCAAATTTAAGTATGAGAGTACCATTTCCGACCAACCAGAGGTGCCGTAATCATAAATTTTCTTACCTCAGCCCCAACCATGGCGAGGATTAGGCGGTATTTCCCCCTATTTATGAAAGTTCTTCCCTGGCCCCCTTCTATTTAGAATTCACCGCTATAAAAGAGAATGGGTACGGTGGGGCTGACTGGTCTCAACAGGTTGGAAATGGCTCCCAGCTTATAAAGGTTGAATACCAGTGCAGTAGAGTATTAGTAGATTTGAAGCCTAAACCGGACGAACATAATTTTACACAGGATAATAGACACAATGGGAGACTTCCCCATTGCTTCCTATACTTCGACCATGGCAAAGGATAGACTTACCAAGGAGGTATAAAGATTAATCTTTATACCTTTATACCTCCTTGGGCTGACCACGGAACTGACTAGGAAAAAATATCTATATGTCACGTCTATCAATCACGTTGGATAATCCATCTTCATTCATTGTTGCCACATTTAAGGAAAGTTTCAAGGAGAATTTAATAATGGATTATTCACCAACACACATTTTCAATAAAGCTAAATGGGAAGGAAATATTATTAGGGTTACTTCTCCCACTTCGACGAACTGTGAGTATGGAAGTTAACAGAGGGCAAAAAATTGGATGCAATATAATTGACATAGGCCTAGCTTAACTTTTAGTGAGTAAACATTGCAACATTGTCTCCCTGGTATTAGCCTTCAACTTTGTAAGGGGAAGAGTTGGTTAAGGAGAAACTTTGTTAGGGACGAGTTTATTAAGGGAAACTTTGTTAGGAGAAACTTTGTTAGGAGACGAGTTTGTTGGTGGTGCAGAAGTTTGTTAAGGGGCTATGACGGCCTTATTAGGGCGAAAATTAGAATTTAGTTAAAGGGCGTTTGTTCCCTTAAGTTTGTTAAGGGGAAACTTTGTTAGGAGAGAATTCGTTAGGAGACGAGTTTATTGGGGGTGCGGTGGATCCAGTGCCCCCCCCTCCCCGCTTTTGTACTAGGACCCCTTTTGTTTATTATATACATAAATGATATCGCCAATGTTAGTAATATTTTCGAGTTATAATTTATGCAGATGCTACAACCCTTCTAAGCACCTTAAAAGCATGTACAGTAATACAAATAACAACAAAATAAATGCTGAGTTAAATAAAGTAAATCAGTTACAATTAAACAAACTTTCACTAAATGTGAACAAATCTAGGTTTATGGTATTTCACACCTGTAAACGAGATATAGATATGAATAGATATGAATAGACAAACAATTTTATGATACAGCATTACGTATCATTACATTAAGTAAACATAATGCTCACACAGAACCTATTTTTAAGACACAAATCTTCTAAAGATAAGAGATATTCACAAACTTTGTCAATTGAAGTTTTATCACAAATATTCAAATAACATGCTACCCGTCTATTTCCAAAATCTTCCATTACAAAAAAAATGATATACACTCACATAATACAAGAACACAAAGCAATATAGGTACACATTATACAAATAAATCATGAATTTGTAAAGAAGTGTATTCGACCATGATTCGACATAGCTTACCGCTACTCATACCCAAAATATTATTACTGAAAAAGTTCATACTCATTCCTTAAAAGTATTTTCCCCAAAATATTAAAAAAAGAATTATTTCTGATTATATTGAAACTTGTTCCATTCAAAACTGTTATGTATGTATGCCCAGAGATTAAGCATAATGTATATATATATATATATATATATGTGTGTGTGTGTATGTGTGTATATATATATACATTATATATGTATATATATATATATGTATATATATATGTGTGTGTATATGTATATATATGTGTGTGTGTGGGTGTGTGTATGTATATGTCAATGTATATATAAATCAAACTACATAAATGTACTAGGCTTCTACTACAACTAGGTAGATGTTTATATAATGAAATATATATATTTATATATATATACACATACATATCTTTTGGAAATGGGGTTACCATG